ATCTTCTCCATTTTCCCTTCCGACCTTTGTCTGCTTCTCCATCCCGTCCCCGGCCTTCTTAAAAACAACCCTTCCAGCTGCCCTTCTACGGTTCTGTAGGGGAGCAAACACCATCTCCTTTCTGGAGGCAGCCGCGACATGACGGCGAGAAAAGTTTCCCCCTCTCCCTCCTGCCAAGCTCCGCGTGTCACTCGGTACGCGCCGTGTCTGCCGCTGGGCAGGACTGCAGAGCGCCGGGCCTTGGGTCTTGGCCTCCATCGGATGAACAATTTCCCCTTGAAGGTTACTCACTTCCTGTTTTCCGTATTTAGACAATCTGGGCCTATTGGGAGCTTTGATTTTTTTTGTAAACTTCAGCTGTTTTAAACGTTAAGTCGCGGGAGACTGAGGTAAGGGGAAGGAGGGGGAAAGGCCTGGAGACAAATTAGGGTTATTTAATCCCAGGGCCGTGTTCTCTCTGCAGTGTTCCAGTGACCATTAGAGCATGTGAGAGGAAGGTCAGGGGCTGACAGCATGGGAGATGGCGAGAGGGCTGCTTCACAGTGGGCCGGGGCTGGAGGCCCTGGTGTGCGTGGGGCTCTCCATGAGTGAGGCCGTGTGGCCGGCGCTCGGGATCGGCCGGGGATGCACTCCAGTGACTAATGTCTCCAATGTGTCATCTGTGCCACAAACAGCTGCGTGGAGGTGGTGAGAGCAGTGCGGCAGCTCCACAGCAGAGGCAGGGAGGAGCTTCTAACCCAGAGAGTGCTGTGCCCTTTCCCTGTGCCTATCAGTACACGCCACATTCTGACATTTGTTAGAACTTGCCCTGAAGTTTGCTAGGCTGGAGCAAGCTAACACTTGTGTGTAGCTGATAGGGCAGGTCATGTCTTCTTTATGCCTGCTTTGCAAGGGTAAACTGAGGCACAGAGCGCTGTAATTTTGCTTGTTATCAGAAAGTGAGTGTGTGAGGGAATGGGGTGAGTCCTGGCACCAGTCTGCCTCCAAAGATGTGATTTTTCATCAAGACCATATTTCCTGTGCTGCTGGGAGTAATGCTTGGAAAGAAGAAAATAGTGTGCAGTGCAGAGTGCCTGTGGGCTCAAAGGTTATGTGAACAATTTTGGTCTGTTCGTTTTTGTTCATCTAATTCTCATCTATCTATGATTTACTCTCAACATGGGGTGGTTTTACTTCCAAATGTTTCAGGGATCCACAAAAAAGAAAATAAAAATAAAACAAAATAATGGATGCACTGAATTAAAGCACAAAGGAGATGGTAAAATAATCTGTATTTTACAGCAAAATCCAGTAGGGATTGCCTTGAGATCACCCTAGCAGTATAACCGGCCACCAGAATGCCAATGTGGTCAAGTGGGAGTGAACTAAAGAACCAGAGACAAAAAATCACAACCAAATAGACAACAAAATGTCCCAGGTAAAGAAATCTGCCATGTACTCTGCCTGACAGAGAACAGGCAGGAGCTGAATCAAGAGCCAGAGGAAACTAAAAGCATTGGGGACGACTTTGGTGAAGCAGGTGTCAGAAGAAACAAGGGTCCGTGTTCACACTCTGGCACTGATAGGCCCAACTCCAAATGATTTACACAGGCTCTTGACCCTCCTGAGCCAGAATCAACTTTCTCCCAAATAGCTCCCTGCAGCCCAGAGTGCAGAACCACAGAGAGAGGAGCATGCAGGATGCAGGCAAGTGGCTGTTTTATGCCTGGTGCTGCTGCATAGGCTGGGTTAACGTTATACTTCCCTGATTCAGGTTTTTATAGACCAAACAGTAGCAGTTCCCTCCCTCAGTGGTGTGCCAAAGCCTTTCCCTGAAGGAGGAGTTAATTCACTATTGTCTTTGTACCTTCTGGAAGTTTTCTCTGCTGTATCTCTCACCCTGCAACCGCATTTTGTTCAGATGTGCTTTCAGTGCTCAGAAATGCAACTTAGCTCTTACTGCAAATGCAGGGCAGTTCTGCAGTGTCTCCCATGAGTTTCCTCTGATGAGGGTACAAGGGTCCTAGACCTCCCAGCAGCACCTTGGTGCAATGTGAGCCCTGGGTTTAGGACAAGCTCTGGATCTGGCAGGGACACATCACACTGAGCCACCAGGGCTGACTGCAAAGCTGGCACCACAGAGAATTGCACCCAAAGCTGTTGAAGCAAATGGTGTCTCTGAATTGGCACCAGCCAGCTGCCCTGGTGCTGAGGTTTGATCTGTTAGACCCGGAGCAGCCTGGTTTGCACTCATATCACCATGCTTAAAGAACAGTCACTCTCACTCAGAAATGTTTACTTGCAAGGACCAGATGGCCCAGGGAATTGGGCTAAACAAAGCATTTTACTTCTAGGTCATGCATTCTAATCCAGTCCAGGTTGGTGATAAATGAGCATACTCACCTGATAGCCACTTTTGGCTTCGTTTTTGGTTGTTTTTCAGGCTAATTTCCAAGGGGAGATGCCTCACCACAAAATGTCCCTCTCTGCCCTGCCACAGTTGGTCCTGATTTGACTGTCTCTGTGGAGAAGCCAAGGATCAAATGTTCCATGGCGCCAGACTGTTTTCTTTTGCAGCCTGCAGGTAAGGGGAAGTTGTCCTATTTCTGGCTGTGTCACGCCTGCTCTGCGGATGGGCAGGAGCTCAGTTTGTAAATCTGCTGCCCCAACCCCCTCCACCAAAGTGAAAAGAATTTTTTTAAAAATGGGAAAATGCTTAATTGCAGTTGACATATAGGCACTGTCTGCTATGAACTTTACATGCAATCACAGATAACAGCATCAAAATTAATGCCTGCTTCCCACTTGTCCTTCTATAAGCAATAAACGTTTGGCAAGTCAGTAAATAACAAAATTCTCATGTGGCCATCTACAGGTCACCAGGATACTTAAGAAGTTTGCGTTAATTATACCATGTTTGCCATCAAAGAGGGGATATTAACCCTTTCAAACTGTTGCAGGAAAGCAGTGGAACCATTTGAAAGTAAGTAAATAAAATCTTGTCACTAAAAGTGCAACATTTGCAAAATAATAATAAAAAGAGGGATGTTTGAAGCAAAAACCTCAGTAGACATCATGGAAAATACAGTACCTTTTCAGCTTCCCTTTTATTTATTTTGTATTTTGACATCAAACACTCCCTGTAACCTAATCTTCTTGGCTTTTGATGTGGCCGTGGAGACATGACAATTAAGCACCGCTTAAAACAATAATCCCAACAACAGGAACCAAAGGCAAGTAATGTCAGGGTTCCCCCCTCACAAAAATCCTGTCCCCCAGTGTTTGGTGGCAGTGAAAGGACTATAAATCCCAATTTGTTGCCTTGATATCTGCTCTGTGCTTACACTTTACGTTGAACTTTACACACTTGCTCCATTTCCATTCCCTGCTGTTTGTTTTTCTTCTGCTATGCGAAATGTCTGGAGACAAACACAATACACACATTGCAGAGAGATGGTTTGATCTTTCACAGATTAGTGCCACCTGACAAACATGGGATTATTTATTATCTGTGTTGCAGGAACTGCTGAAGCCCCTGCTCAGAGAAGCACGCTCCTCAGGGCGCTGGGGATGCACCACCCCTCCTGACAGCCTGATGGATTATGGCCCCAGTTCTGTCAGTGCATCCAACCAAACCAGCAAAGAGGCAGAGAGGCAGCCCCCAGGTAAGCACCATCACAACCTGAATGGGATGTGTCCTGTGCAACCAAAGCAAACAGCTTGGTTATTCCAAATTTTAAAGAGATATTGCTAGTTCTCATTTCTCAAAGATTGAGGGATAGAGGCTGATTTTAGCTATAATCCCATTTTAAACCTGTCTGAAAAAGAACATGTTTCTTTTTAAATGAAGCTTGCACAGTATGCTATAAACTGCCTCTTTTTTTTTCCTTTTTTTTTTAATGGTTGTTTGCACTAAGCCTTGCAGAACAAGTTAGAGAGATGATTAACTCGTCTGAAATGATGCAGGAAGGCCTTGTCCCAGTCGGGTGTTCTTCCTTCAGCACATGGAGAGCTGCTGCAGCTCCGTGGTATTCACAAGCAGGGCTTGCAACCAGGGCTGGGCAGGAGGCTGCAGGGGGAAAGGCAAGAACTCCTCCAAAGGGCTGGAATTCACACACACACACAGAGAGAGAGAGAAAAAGGAACGCAGGTTATTTTTTCCCTTAATGAGTAAAGAGTTATCCCCAAGCTGGTTTCACAGGGGGTCAAAGGAGGAAACCCAAAATTCACTAGCAGTTTTCTTGAAAATATTGTTGCAGCAGCAGCAGCAGCAATGCCCACCCCTACACACTTTGCAAGACTTTTCTTCACTTTGGAAGGCCCCGAGGGGTTCCTTGTGTGGGTCAAACCCCACTGTGCGATGAAAGCAGCTGCAGTTTTGGTGTCATGGAAGATCTGTTTGGTCAGCCCTTTTCTCCATCCTCACATGCCAGTCCATGTGCACACCTCCCTGCACTCAGGCCTGTTCCCAGGGCAGCTCCAGGCTGGCCATCCCCCCTTGCTCCCTTCACCCTGCCACTGATAATGACAAATGGCAAGAAACAGGTTTCCAGGTGGAGAGAACTTTCCCTGGTCTCATACAGGTCCTGCCTTGAAATCCATTAGGCAGCTGGCCTCTTTTCTATGTTTACAATGCTTTTAAAATGTGTTTTTAATGTAAAAGTATTTCTCCAAACACTTTAATAAAACACACCAAAAAAAATTTCAAGAGAAATCACAGTTCATCATCTCTAATGTGGCTGCTCCCTCAAAATTTAAACTAGTTTAGAAACTTAGGCACACTTAACTGCTTGACCTCATCACTCCAAAACAACACTGGAGAATGAGTTTTTGTACCTGTGCTTCCAATACTAAATCATTCTTTAACTACCTTCTTTTGTTCTACCCTGTTAGGGTTTCAAAATATCATAGTCTGCTCTGCATAAAGTATAAGCTAATAATTCTGCTGGCAACAATGATGATAATTTTTCCTCTCTCCCCATTAAAAGCAGCTTTTATGACATGAAGCAGGGCACAGGTAGTTTCACAAAAAAGGTATTTATTATTCTTAGCAATATTCACCTTGAAGGAATATGAGGAAAGCATACACTTTTTACAGACAATATATAAACATGTTGTACATAATTAACAATAATTTAGTTCACTAATCCAAAAATAAGCAAAATAAAAATTAAAATAAAAACAGAAAATACTGAAGAATTTTTTTATGCTGATACAAGTACAAAATAATTTAAATCTCAACTGCTGTTGTCTATGCTGCAGTGACTGACAATATATTGCACTTTGTCAACTGTATCAGTAATCCCTGTCTTTCACCCACACCCCTTCCCCTCTGCCCAAATCCTACAGAAATTTAAGTTGGGTACAAATAATGTACAACTGTACCATTGTAAAAGGTAAAAAGTAAAAAGGACCTAATTTTTTACCTCAGTAGATTAAAAATTCTTATGATTTCTCTCAACCAATTTAGTTTCCCATTTATTTCCACTTCTTTACAAAGTGCACCTATATGCCTACACAGACCAAAAAAAAAGAGGAAAGCAGGATTTTCATGGCTGCTTGGTTCTTAATTATAAAATACTACATTTTAGTAGGCTTAAAAATTACAGGCTTAAAAAAATTTACATACATCCTTTTTTTGTTTCATTCTGTTTTTTTCTTTAAAGCAGGACTTTTGCAGTAAAGATACAATTTGGCTTGATCCAAAAAACAAAAAAAAAAAGGAAAAAGAAAAACCCAACAACAAAATAGTTAAAATTTAAAAAAATAAAATAAAAAGCTTTTCACGAGTTAAGCTTACGTGGTTTACATTATCAAACCCCTCTGTTCATTGGGGCATTTTCATCAGAAGTATACCTAAATATGTACACCTTATGTTATACTGGAGCTTGTGTTCACGAGAGGCATCAGATCATAACAATCAATAGAATACACTTCACATTGGCAATAGCTTTGTGTTCGGTCATTTACGTACAATATGGTTTCATAATGGGAGATTTAATTTTTTTTTTTTTGTTCTTTTCTTGTTTTCATATAAAATCCGCTACGGAAAACAGACGTTCCCCTTAGAACGATGCTTTCCCTCAGCTGTCTCTGTGTCTGGGATTTGATGGATGTGTGAAGCTCAAACTGATTGTCTCTCTTTTCCCCTCTCCAGTGATCTCAGCCTCATTTCTGCCCTTCCTCCCGGTGGGCTCCACCGGGGCTGGGTGCCTGAGACAGCAGGGCTGGCTGCATGTGCATGTGGTGCCCGCACTGCCCAAAGTTTACCCAAGCAGCTAATCTGCATTTTTAAGCGACAGCTGCCAACACAACAGAACAAAATGCTTCAACCTCCAAAGTCTGCGAGCAGGATGGGTTTCGTGCCCCATTATAGTTTTGGCTGTGTTAGAACTTCTACAGGCATTTACCAAAATTGTGTTGCAGCTATCCACCCCTTGCTAGTGCAGGATTGCCTTCCCCAGAGTTTTTTCCCAACAGTTTTTCTGACCTAGGTTGTCTGGTTTGAGGAACAATAGGGTAGTTGGGAGAGGGGCTCTTTTTAAAATAAATCTTTCATGTTAGGGAGAAGAATGAAGGAATTGTGTCAAAATAATCACCATCTTGGGTATATTAAAATCCCGAATTACGGCTACATTTTTGCTTTGTTCCTCGCCCTCGCAATCCTTTCCCCCTTCCTGGTAACTTTGGTATGGAAGATAGATGGAGCTAATCCAAGAGGGCTGTTGAGTACATTTCCCCTCTCCTTGTTTTGAAGGCAGCTTTTCTTACAGGGTAGCCATTGCAAATGACAGCACAAAAACATGCAATCAGAGGGGTTGAGGCTTTTTGTGGAAAACAAAATAAATATGATTTTGTGTCTGATTTTAAAACTTATGGTTTAATAAAGATGCCCTTTTCTTTCTCTTGATTTTTTTTCTACTTTTCTTTTTTGGCTTTTTTTCTTCTTTTCTTTCCCCTATCCCAAGCAAAGTCCGCAATAGAAATCCAGCATGCCTGGCTTCCAGTGAGCCAATTCCATCCCGGGAGGCTGCTTATATCTCTTTACAATATTCACAGTAATAACAAAGAGAGAAAGGAAAACCAGTTCCAAGCCTTCTCTTTCAGCTTCTGCCATCTTTTGCTTCCTGCTGGACCATTAAGTATCGAACAGGTGAGTTCCTTTTTCTTATACCTGAGGGGGCAAAGTGCATTACAGGCACCACTACACATTTCTGCAGAAGACCCATCATTTGCAAGTTTTAGTCCAGCATTAAAAGTTAACCACATGGGAGCAAAGGTCTCCTTTTGCCATCCCTACATTCTCCTCTTGGCAGAACCTTGTCTTACTTGGTGTCATCTTAGGCAAAGTCCCATGTTCTTAATATCTGGATGGGTCTCTTGGTCATCAGGTTTTATCCCATGGCTGTAACCATGCTGGATGGGTGTGGGTGTCCAAATGAGATGCTGGAAGATGGGTGGATGGGGGTAGGTGTTGGTAGGATGTGTCCAGAGTGGCTGAAAGGGGGCAAATGCCCCATGGGTGCCATGTGACTGGCAAGGGCAGCAGCGCTGAAGGGAGACGACTTCTCCTGCATGCACTTGGACAGTTCCTCAAAACACTCAGAGCCTTTCTTGCTTTTCTTTGATTTGTTGGACATTTTCCTATTCCTGGTCTGAATTCCTTCCTTTTTCATGGTCAGAGGCCTGTTCACCTGCAAGAAATGAGAAAATCAGGCTCATGCAGACAAAATGACTTTATTGTGCAAAAATGAAAATATTTGGACAGTCCCCATGTGTTTTTCCTGGATGGAGACCTTTTTCTGGCCAAAAAAAATGGTGTTTCTCTCTGCAGAACTTGTTTATATTGATTTGTTTAATAAAACCACACACACAAAAAACCCCTAGACATGAAAAACAAATTGAACTGAATTTGGCAGCTGATGACTCTCTTTCCCGTAGGCTTACCCTCAGTCCTCATTAATTTCCTAATAGAAGATCAAACTAGGAGGCACACGCTGACCCAAATTCAGTCCTGAGACATGAGCAATCTTGTACCAGTAACCTCTGTTACCTACAGTGTAAATAACCATCCAACGTACCAAGTGTTCCTGCTTAGGATTAATTTCTTTTAAAAAAATTAAATAATACAACAAAGCCTTAGACACAATTATTTTTTTACAAGTCAAAATGAAGATAGCCCATCAGGATTAATTTTTGCACAGAGCCCATTCCAAATGGCCTCTGTTTCTGGAGGGAAACAGCACACAAAACCCCCTTAGTTAAAACCAAGTGTGGCAGCTCTGTTTTGCCTGGTTTGCCCAAGCTAGAAGCCAAGCTAATACATTGTAATGTCACTGAACTTAGCATCACTATGCTGACAAAGAACGGCTGTCACTTCCCAGGGGAACCTTAGAGACGGGGAAGGAATAAAACAACAACCAAACCCCTGAAACCAATAAAAGCCCAGTGTACACCACGCAGTTAAGACATCAATCCACACTAGGCAAGCAGCGACACATGAGATGAGTAAATACTCACATTGTGCAATTTATAGTAGAGTCCACAGGCATTACAAACTGGGTCCCCGTTTGCATTACGTCGCCATAAGGTCGTGGTGGTTGTCTGACAGTTGGCACAACAAGTCCCCGCTCTCCTGGCCGCTGACTAACCAAAAGAAAAAGAAAATTAAAATGTATCACCAGGTGGGGGGAGATCATGAGAAAGGTCAAATTGGACTCAATATTTAGTTTGGGGAGAACTTGTTACTGAAGAGCATCAGGGCTGGAGGAAAGCTGCTGTCAGTTGTAAGTTTTATGGACGTTATGTTTTTGTTTAAATTTAAATATTCTCCTATGCAAACTTTCAAACCCCATGGCACTCTGTGTGCAACGGAAGTAAGGAGAGAAACAATGAATCTTCGATTCCACAAACAAAAATTTTAGAGGGGGGGGAAATAATCTTGACTTTTTCAAATTTTCCCTTTTCACGATTCTAAAATGCATCATTAAAATGCGTTTCCCTTTTTCTTTGATGATGAATTTAGTCTGTGATAAGGATGGGACTGGATTTTGAAAACATCTTTAAGAATGTGATTTTTACCCCTTCTCTGGCCCTTGAAAGGTGGACACAAAAGAAAATGAACCACATTACTTAGCTGGGTGCAGTATTTATCAGAGCCATCACTGACAATTCAGTTTGCATTTACAAGTGAAAGGGAGAAAACAAAACCGGCTCCAACTTTCTTTAAATATTTAGCAAACCAAATTTCATGCCTTGCAGCAATGATTCCGCTGACCCCCGTCTGCCGCCTCTGTCCCTACTTAGTTCCTTGGCTGACAAGCCCTCCAACAACTGTCTTAAAATTAAACAAAACCGCCAAAAAATCCACCACCCTTTCATAAAACTATTGTTCTGCTGAAACCAAGGTGAGGGGAAAGAAGAAAGCCCAAACATTCACCCACCTCCCAAAACAAGAACAGGAAAAGTAGAGCTGCAGGCGCCCGTGATTCCTGGACGGGCCCTTGTCTAGCAGACCCCATAAAGCGTCCTTTGTGCATGGACAGTGACGTATAAACTGTTATAGACAGACTAACTGCACCCCGTATTTGGGGAAATTATTTTGTATTAGGAGCCTTCAGCCCTGCCTCTAGAAGTGGTCAAAACACCAAGTCCATTTTGTGCTACTGAATTAATAACGAGGATTCGGTATTTTCTTAAATTGGAGTTTACTTCCCAAAGCGTATCAATCGCGGTCGTTCCCCGGGGCCTTGCTCCCTGGATATTTCTGCAATTAGCCATGGAGAGCCATGGGGTGAAGCCCAGCAAAGCTCACAGCAATGCACAGGGCAGAGGATTCCCAGAGAACTCGGTGTTTCCCTGCCCGCCAGCCCGGTGGGGAGCGGGCACCGCTGGAAGCACAGCTCGGCCCGCTCACCAAAGAGGGGCACAGAGTTCTGTTCTCACTTGCTCCTGATTTATGCCATGGCCCCCTGTAACTGTCCCAAAGCTGATGGACAGTTCAGCAGCTTTAGGCAAGAATCAGGCCCTCGGAGACTCACATATTTCGGTGCCTTACTGGCCTGTGAGAACAGGCCAAAGGCAGAAAGAGGGGGTAACCCCCTACTGCAAATGCACTCATGCAACCCAAACACAATTAATGCCAGACGTCCAAATGCTGACATTATTAATATGATCACTTTGTTATTGCATGGCAGATGAACAAACTCCCAAAGATGGCCACCTCCTCTCCCCCGCAAACAAGCAAACTACAGTGGAAAAAGGGGCAATAAACAAAGTTGTAAATCAATTAAAACTAAACATTTAAACAGCTAAACACTAAAAGAAAACCTCTCTAGTGCCCCCCAAACCCTGCACAGTGAGCTAAGTATAACAGTCTCCCAACACACTGGAAGGTGGAGATCTATGTTTGCATATTTGAGATGGCTTACTGATACTCAAAACTCTGCTGCTTAACTCTATGGCCTGTCCCATTCAGTCTGGAAAGCACTTGAGCTTGAGAGACGATAATGTTACACTGTTGTCTTAACATTTTTCTATATGTCAGTCACTTTAGAAGGCAAGTCATTAAGAAGCTTACATAGCTGAAATTCTGACTCAGGGCAGAAATCTTCTATATCCCATCCCAGTGTTAGAACAGTAATGCCAATTTTCTGCTCTCTAAACCTCATTGATATTTGCCCACGAATAGCTAGGAGACTTAGGCACCATAAATCACAAAGCTCCAAAAAATATATTTATTATTCTTAGCATTTTACGCATTATTTGTGGAGTAGAGTGTATTAGAAATTTCAAAACAGCAAGCATGACTGGCAAGGCTTGCCTATAGAAACTCTCTAAAGCTTTTAGAGTCAGGAAACAGATACACAAAGTTTCATTATCTTTAACGTACAGATATCCGGATAGGAAACTACTACCAGGAGCTTAGAAAGGACTTTTTTTTTTTTAATCAGTCAAATGAAAATACAAAGTATAGGTGACTCCATGGAAAAATAATAGGATTTTTTTTAACAGTAGGGGATTGTCTGGGGAGGGAACCAATATTAATATTGCCAGAGAATATAAGAGTGAGAATTACTTCATGGCTTTTATACAAATAATTTTTAAGTAGGGAGCAGTAGCTTTGACTCATCTGATTTGTTTTGCTTTTGTGGAGCTGTAACTTTTTTTTAGTACACGGTGGAGGACATTCATGCTCATAACCCTTTCGCTCCCAGTGTGCGCCCAAACCGTCCCAAGAGGCCAAGTAAATGAGGAATTAAATTAAAAGCTGTCATCTGAGGACAAACGGGGAGAAGGACACGCGATATCCCGCATGCATTGTGAGCGGCAGGGATGCCTGGGACAGGCGGGCTCGGGGTGGGGGCGGAGGGGCGATGTGCCCCGAGGCGCGGCAGTGACCTCGCCGTGACTGACCCCGTACAGTACAGCTCGGCTCCACGCAGGGGCTCGGCAGCGATGAGGCACGGCCGGCTCGTGCCTGTGTGTGGTCCCGCTGCCTGATTTATCCCCAAACCCGGGAGAAATAAAGACACCTACCAGCCTTCGCTTGGGCTTAATGAGAGGTCGGTTTTGGCCGTTCATTTTGTGGTAGAGCCCGCAGGCGTTGCACAGGTAATGCCCGGTGCCGTCTCTTCTCCAGAGAGGGGTGGCAGTGGCTCCACAGTTCACGCACTCTCTGCCTTCTAAATGGAAACACGAAGACAACAGATTCCTTTCTTTAAAAACAAATTCACAAAATCTTTTTGCGTTGCCCTTTAGGCATTTTTCAGGAGTCAAAACAGTGTGTTAATTCTGTTAATTAAGCACAACCAGGCAGCAGTGACATCTACAGTACAGGCAGCAAGGAGCTCGGTGTTTCAAGAACTCCCAGGCTCCAGTGAGTATTTTATGCCATGATCAGGAATAGGCAGCACTCTCTGCAAAGTGAGAAAGAGTGACACTCTTATTGTGTCAGATGGAAGTTATCGTTTCAGCAAGAACTCCCTCAGCCTTCACTGGGCACCGCTCCCCTCCCGGATCTATTGCACTCCGGTGGTGAAATCCTGTGTTCCCCTGCCCAGAAACACCCGTGCACACAAACACTCACACCTGCAAACACACAACACGTTAGAGAGAGAGTCAGAGGAAGAGGTTTTCTAGAAATAAACCTAAGCAAAAAGACCTCCAATTCTGCGCTTTCTTTCTTGTTGCAAATGCTACAGGTTGAGAAAGTAGAGCCGAGCAGATTGGGAATGGATACAAAATACCAGAGTCTCAGTTATGATTTTTGTTCTAAAGGCATAAAAACACTGTTAATGCTGTTCTTTGAGAAAGTTCAGTTTCACTGGACATTACTGTAAAAAACAGCTTGAGTGTTTTTCTGTTTCTGTGATTTTTCAACAATCCAGTTTGGATTTGGTAAGGGAGCAGTTTACCCTCGTTATTAGTTTTAGTACAATGTGGTAAACATAGCATTGTAGAATGGCTGCATTAAATAAAACACAACATGTAACTCCAAGATATCTGTTTCTGCATCAGAAAGCTTCCTGCTAAAAGTTCATTTGCCTTGGATGGTTTGAGGGCAGGTCTGCTTAATATAGAAATCTCTCTTAATACCGTTTATGCAAATCCTAGAGTATTTAACTGGAAAGGAAATTCTTTTTGCTAATAACTGAAGCAGGCCATGTCGAGTTCAGCGGGGCTTGTGTCTGCCTTAATCTAGGGAGTGGGTAGCTTTTAAACAACACAGTCTAGAGAGAGAAATGAGGGGAGCTCTGCGGCACTGCATTTGTAGCTCTTGTCCCTCCTAGGGCAGGAAGCTGCAGGAGTCGTCCTGTCGTGATCTTAGTTTTCCTACAAAAACACTGAGTGGTCACGAACTTTCCCCAGTTCCTTACACTGGGAGCTCCCTTACAGAGGGAGAAAAAAAAAAAACAACTGTAAAACAAAAGAAAAAAGGTCCTTGTTTCCCCCATCTAAAAACCAGCAGCAGCTACAGGACAAAAAATTTTAAAAAGCTACTCCTTTCTGTCTTTAGAGACCTGGATCTTGAGCCAGATTCCAGACTTAGGAGGTTTGGGCTACCCACTGCCTGTACCTTCTCTTCTATGCCCTACAATTGCATACACATAGTAGCAACTGCCTGGAAATAACGGCAGAGAAAGAATGTATTTTCCCCTTCCGAGGAATTATTTGAAACAGTACTGATGAGCTTGTAAAATAGCTGGTATTTTTGTTGCAAAACTCATAAGAGATCACATTTCTAAATTATTGTCTACTTAAATAAAAACATGTAGTGTATTCATAAGCAAATACGTTCAATGGAACACATATGCAAATGCCTATAGGGCCATTTATTTTTAAAGGACTGTCTAAATTAAGCCCCAGTATATTGCAGTTTATTTCCTTCCACTGGTGAGGATATTAAACCAAGAAAGTCAGTAGAATTACATAAATTGTCATAATTTGTGTCTAGCTGTACAACTACTGTGATTTCAAAGTGGGGTCAAAACTTTGTTCATCGCCTAATTTACGGATTTAGGACTCCACTTTTAGAATAAATGCAAGGAAGGGTGAACACGGGAAAGGTCTGCAGGCAGTTGTTTGGAAGCAGAGATATGTCTGATTCAGGGTAAAAAAAAAAAAAAAAAGCGAGGGGAGTCTTTTCTAGTTAAAGTTAGGCTGGAGTAAGTTAGCAGTGACTGGACACCTTAGTCTTTTGCACTGGTATGTAAACTACATTTGAACTTTTGCTCTTGTAAAACGCGAAGGGAAAAAGGCCTTTTGCGATCTGAAAGAGACAGGCCAGGGAAGTTTCGCTTTCATCTTGCACTGGGGCTTTGGGTGGTGTTAATGGAGAGACGTGGAAATTACGGAGGGACAAATACCTATCCCTGGAAAGTCCCCATGTGTCATCCATGGGCCTCGGCCTGACTTGAGGGAGCAGGGTCGAGCCTGAGCCCCTCGGGAGCCTGAGGCCTGCTTTTCTCCGATGGAAAGGGTTCGGGTTTCTCTCTCCATATAAATCCCTCTTTGTACAAGGCGGTCTGCTGGCTCAGGCTGCCCTGGTCCCCCGTCCGAGCGCCCTGTGCCCAGTGCCGGGGGCATCGGCACCCACAGGAGCCCAGTCCAAGCTCCATCTCCTACTTTCAAAAGCCCAGAAAAGCAGAAGCAAGCAGTCACCTGTCCCTCTGTCCCGAAGAGGGCCAACACAAGCACCCAGCCTCGCAGCAGCCCGCATGCTCACCCCGAGACCGGCGCAGCACCCGCACAAAGCCCCGGGAGCGCGGCCCTTCCAGGCGGGACGGCCGCGGGGAGCGTCACTTACCCGAGCAGGACCGGGCCTTGCTCCGCGGCTTGGGGGTGAAGCTGGACGCGGGGCCCCCCAGAAAGCTGCCCGGGTGGAAGAGGCTGCTGCTGTAGTCGTGGGCTGCCGGCACGTAGGAGGGGTAGGTGGGGATGGGGTGGTGGGTGGAGGGCTGGGCCCCCATGCTGGTGAGGCTGCTTCTGAGCGGGCTGGCGCTCTCCATCTTCATCCCCTCCGACAGCGACACTTGGTACTTGATGCTGTCTTTGTCCTCCTGCCGAGCCCCGGCGGAGGAAGAAGGGGAGGCGGCGCTGGTGGAGTTGGGGTCTGGTGACACTTCCTTGGGAGGGGTCGGGGGGAAGCCGAAGAGGTGGGAGCCGGAGTGCGAGGCCGGGGTGAGCGAAGACACGGAGGCGGTGCTGGAGGTGCTGCTGCCCGGGTACACCGAGATGGCCCCAGGCGCTCCCGCCGCCGAGGGGTGCAGGGGTGTCTTGGTGAAGGGGCTGACGGTCCAGGGGTTGTGGTGATGGGCAGACAGTGCCGCCTTGCTGCTGTCCAGCCAAGGGATCCCGGGGCTGTGGATAAGATGAGGCCGGCACATTTGACTCCCGGTCAGGCGGGCTGTAGAAACACAAGAGCGTTTGGGGTCAGCGTGGGGCGGCTTAGCCCGGAGCGGCTGGGGGGGACCCCAGCTCCCCGTGGCTGGGCAGCTCCTCGGTCTGCCGGCAGCCGGAGGACGGGCGGCCACGGGAGAGGCTTCACAACCCAGGGAAGAGCAGCCAGGCTGGTGCAGCAGCCCCTTCCCCCTATCCCATCTGAGGGACATGCCGGCCAGCCCGGCCAGAAGGAGCAAGGGGAGCAGGAGGGGCAAACCTTTTCCTCACACCCCCGTCCTAGGAAAACGCAGCAAACCCCTTTCTGCTCTATCTTTCTGAGCTGCCGTAATGCTCTCTCTTCGGCTCCTAAGAACACCCCCAAATAAAATCCATCGCCGGTTTGAATCGGTTTGTATTTTGCATCCGGGAAGTAGCCGTGTCTGAGAAGTTTTAGCCCGTGCGCACACTGTTTCCCCTTCCTCTCTCACCTCCCCCCTTTCTTTCCCTCCCCTCCGCTAGCCCTTGGTTATCCCTAGGGTTAAAATCCACCCGTGCCTGCCTGTCTATCCTGTTTTCGATCTCCTCTATCCCGGCTCCGACGCACCGAAGTTTCACCGAGTGAAACTTCTCACCCCGCGCAGGACAGGAGACCCGCGGGGCCCGGAGCGCTGCCGAGCGCGGGGAAGGGGCCGGGGTGCTGATTTACCGTGCGCCTGGCTGTAGGAGACCCTGGCCCGGGCATGGGCGGAATTGGCGTAGTAAGGGTTGCCCTGGGAGTCCAGGTGGTTGAAGAAGACGTCGACTTCATCCGGAGGTAGGAGCTGCGCTGGTTCCATGTAGTTGTGAGGCAGCCCGGGGTGGTGGCTGTCGGGGTGCTGCCCGTTGAGCACGGCGTGGTGGGCCATCCAGCGAGGCTGATCCGTGGCCACCTCCATGGCCTTGGGCCTCCCCTTTCACCCACCCCCGGGCCAGGAGCGAGCGGCGCTCGGTGGGGGCGGGGAGCGCTGCTCGGGGGGTCGCTTTTGACGCTGCCTGGTGGGTTTTAAGATATTGGGGTGGCTTTTCTTAGAAAGAAAACCGCCGGGTGACTGAAGCGCGCCCTCTGAGGCGTGGGAGAGGACCCCAGAAGTCAGCGTGTCCCTCTGTCAACAGGCGGGGAGAGGAGGCAGGTCCGGGGAAGCGCCAGGGCAGCACCTGTAGGGAGAGACAGGAGGGTTCAGCAGCTCGGCAGCCGTGGGTGCGCTGCTCGCCGGGCCGGCTCCCGGCCGGCTTCTTTTCCCAGAGGTACATGGAAGGGGAGGGGGAAGCAGAGCCCCTCCTCCCTTCCAAAAATATCCTGTCCCCAAAACTCCTTGCCTTGCTCTCTCCCTGCTCATTGCTCCACAAAATAAACAGAGATGCATTTCAAACTCTTTAACTAAAAACAAAAAGGAGAAAAAGAAGAGGGAAAAAAAGGAAAAAAGGGAAAAAAGGAAATAGTTTTGTTCTTCCCCCCCCCCCCGCCTCGCTAGAAACGTCAATAGGAGTTTTTCCAGCTGGCTTCAAAAGCGGGGTTAAAAAGGAAGAACGGCAGAACTAATATAGCGTAGTTCTAGCAAGAACTCCAACTGACACAAAAGGAAAAGGAGGGGGAGAAATAGGGAGGGGGTAGACAAGGAGAGTGGAGAGAAGGGTGTTTAGAGAAGGCAGCGAGTGCGCCCTGGCAGCGGCGGCGACCCCCCCGCGCCCCACACTTACCCGGCGCGGGCGGCTGGGTGGCGATGAATGCCGGCGTGGAGGATGCGAGCGCGGCAGAGAGGGGGAGAACGGAGGGGGAACGAAAAAAAGCGAAGAGGGAGAGGAGGGGGGAAAGGCAGAGCGAGCGCGGGAAGAGCAGAGGAGGCTGGATGGAGAGTGTTACTCAGATGGCAAAGCCGCTGCTCTGGCCGACTCGGTCCCATCCCCGCGCATCCTATATGAGCGCTGGCGCCAGCTGGCCGCGGCGCCGCAGACGGGCCGGGGTGCGCAGGGCCGGCGGCCGGGCCAGCCAATCCCGCCGCCCCACACCGCCCCCAACCGCACCCCCGGCCCCAAACGGAGCCGGCCCGGGGGGGGGGGGGCGGGGCAGACCCCCCCCCTCCCCCCCCCTCCCCCTGCCCCCAGCATCTCGCCCGG